AATTTTAGCCCTCTAGGATGTTCAAACCTGCAGATCCCCATTACTAATCAATATTATTAATCAATTTACACAATTTAGCCTCCTGTTACACCTTTCTTTCATACAAAAACCAAATTTCCTTTTTGGTTTTAGCAAATTTATACAAAATTGCATCTTCTGTCAATCCTGTCGATCTGTTTATCATAACACTGGGTAACACCTAATCTGTCATACCTCTTATTTGTTACATCTCTTTTATTTGTCATACTCTCTTATTTATTACACCCTTTTATTTGTTATATTTTTTTACCAGAACTACTAAACCTTATCTAATACTATGCCTACCTTAACTTCCGAAGAACCAGATTCCTACAACCTTGACTACTATCACAAAAACTACCAGAACCATTTTGGTATAGGAACTACTAAAAACACCTTAACATACTTTGAGTTCACCCAACAGCCTTTAAACCAGCAGTTTGTGATTTAACTAAACAACAACATTTTTTCAAGTACCTCTTTAACTCTCTATTGGTAAATGCTACTGTGAAAAGTACCACACTAGTTTTATCTCCAAGCATTACAGAATCTTACACACACAATGCATTGCTATCAGAGAATCTACAACTATGATCTCTAGTATCTCTAGTAATCAATTAACCAAAAAATGTGATGCTCTATCAAATTTACCTAACATCAAAGTACCAGCTCAAGAAGAATCTTACCAAGCTAACCCTCTCATACAAATAGCTCTACTTAATTTCACCAAAAAATAGTCATATCTCTCATTAAAGTAAAACAGGAGGTAATTCTTACCCATCACCAAGCAATCACTATCTCTTTAATCAAACTTTGTAAACTTTCTGTTAAGGAAAAAGGTCAAATTCTGGTCTCATTATTCTAAACAACAATAGCAACAACAATAATAACATCAAAAATTAAATAAAAACCAAGATAAACAGAATCAAGATTAAAAACATCAACAGAAACAAGCACAAAAATCTAAACAAAATCGTAATATCTCGAAGAATCTTGACTGGTTCCAAAAATTTCTAATTACCAAATCTATAAAACTCCACACCAGACTTGACAATACTTGTATATCAACTTTTTGAATTTATTAGACCTCATCTTATTGAAGGTTACCCTGGCAAGATTATCAAACCAGCAACCCAATTTTTCAGAAAACTTAAATTTACATATTCCTATTTAATTAAAAAAATAGCTGGTTAGAAAGTGAATATACAAACAAAATCAAACAAGAAATATTAAGATAATTAAAGAGAAAATATCCTAATGAAGTAATTAGAAGAAAAAAATTAAAACAAGATAACCAAAAATTATTGTATTAACAGGCTATTGGTGTAGAAAAATCAATATTTAAAGAAAATTTTATGAGCTATTTAGAAGGAAAAGGATATAAAGTTTATCATCCAGTCAAAGTATCTTTATTACTTGATGATAAATTAAAGCTTTTCTATAAAGATCCAAAAAATAATGCTTTATTTTTTCAATATGTGATTCTTAATTTCTACAAGAAACAAGCTATAGAAATTAATATAATTGATTCATATGATTTTGTAATACTTGATCAAACACATATTGATACTGAAGTTTTTACATTAATAAATACTGAAGATGAAGAAGTTGTCGATTTTTTAGGGAAAAAAGACAAGAAATTAAAATAGAAAACATTAACAAAGTGCTTTATTTAAAACCTACAGATGAAAATATAATTAAAAGATAACGAAAAAGAGATTGAGAAGCAGAAACCTATACTGATGAATATTTAATCAAATTATCTGATTTTTATGAGAAATTAATCAATAAAATTTATCCATCCATAATAAAATTGAAAATAATTATACTGTTGAAGAGTATGAGAAAAATTATTTTAATAAGTTATTTAATGAACTTACTACTATTTAATATAAATTTATTTTTATAAATATTTTTTATTTTATACTATCTGGATTAATAGTATAGTAATTATTTTCTATTTAGTCAAAAGACTAAATAGAAATTTATTTACATAAATTTAAAATTTTTAATTTTTAAATATTATATAAAAAATATTATAAAAATTTTAAATTTAATATTGAAAATGATATTGAACATAAATCTTTACAAGAAGAAATAGAAAAAAAAAGAAAAATTATTTTTATTTTTGAACAAATTAATAATTTTTTAATTATAATAGCTTTAATAATGGTTATATATCAATTATTTTTTAAAATATCTACTAGTTAGTCTTTTGACCAACTAGAATTTTATTTATACAAAAATAAAAATATCAAATATTTTTTATATTTACGATGCTGCTGATTCATCAGCTTTATATAACAAATATTATTTACTTCGTTTATATACAATTAATCCTGAAAGAAAAAGATTTATATTTAATGTAAAGATCAAAGAAGTATTTTTTGATATTAAATTAACACAACAAAGTAAAAGTATATCAGAATATATTGATGAATTTGATCTATCAAGCTATGAAATTATTGAGAAACAACCATTTGATTCAACAGAAAAACATAAATTTATTTGTCTTTATTTTGAAAATCTAACCAAAAGAAAAAAAGCATTAAAGTTGATTATAAAAGAAAGTTTCAATTGGTGGATGTTGAAAAGAATTGAGAAGAATTTGAGAAATATTGGCAACAATATGATACTTATTCAGATGATAACACTTGTAATTATCGAAAAATAGCACGTGAAAATAATTTTGAATTAGTTGGATACCAGAGGATTTGATTAAAATTTTGTACTAAAAAAAATACGTATGTTAAATATTGAAAAAAAATTAGCCAAATATTAGAACAAGAAAATGTGGTAAATAATATTAGAGAAACTATGATAAAAGTAGTTGAAAAAGATATTGATGAAAAGATACAGAGAAAAATTTATGGAATCGATAGTTCTAATCGAAACATAAAAGTAAATTCAAATGAAACAATGATATACAAATACTACCAAATCTCTGGAATAGTTTTTTTTCAATATTTAACATACGTATTTTTTTTAGTACAAAATTTTAATCAAATCCTCTGGTATCCAACTAATTCAAAATTATTTTCACGTGCTATTTTTCGATAATTACAAGTGTTATCATCTGAATAAGTATCATATTGTTGCCAATATTTCTCAAATTCTTCTCAATTCTTTTCAACATCCACCAATTGAAACTTTCTTTTATAATCAACTTTAATGCTTTTTTTCTTTTGGTTAGATTTTCAAAATAAAGACAAATAAATTTATGTTTTTCTGTTGAATCAAATGGTTGTTTCTCAATAATTTCATAGCTTGATAGATCAAATTCATCAATATATTCTGATATACTTTTACTTTGTTGTGTTAATTTAATATCAAAAAATACTTCTTTGATCTTTACATTAAATATAAATCTTTTTCTTTCAGGATTAATTGTATATAAACGAAGTAAATAATATTTGTTATATAAAGCTGATGAATCAGCAGCATCGTAAATATAAAAAATATTTGATATTTTTATTTTTGTATAAATAAAATTCTAGTTGGTCAAAAGACTAACTAGTAGATATTTTAAAAAATAATTGATATATAACCATTATTAAAGCTATTATAATTAAAAAATTATTAATTTGTTCAAAAATAAAAATAATTTTTCTTTTTTTTTCTATTTCTTCTTGTAAAGATTTATGTTCAATATCATTTTCAATATTAAATTTAAAATTTTTATAATATTTTTTATATAATATTTAAAAATTAAAAATTTTAAATTTATGTAAATAAATTTCTATTTAGTCTTTTGACTAAATAGAAAATAATTACTATACTATTAATCCAGATAGTATAAAATAAAAAATATTTATAAAAATAAATTTATATTAAATAGTAGTAAGTTCATTAAATAACTTATTAAAATAATTTTTCTCATACTCTTCAACAGTATAATTATTTTCAATTTTATTATGGATGGATAAATTTTATTGATTAATTTCTCATAAAAATCAGATAATTTGATTAAATATTCATCAGTATAGGTTTCTGCTTCTCAATCTCTTTTTCGTTATCTTTTAATTATATTTTCATCTGTAGGTTTTAAATAAAGCACTTTGTTAATGTTTTCTATTTTAATTTCTTGTCTTTTTTCCCTAAAAAATCGACAACTTCTTCATCTTCAGTATTTATTAATGTAAAAACTTCAGTATCAATATGTGTTTGATCAAGTATTACAAAATCATATGAATCAATTATATTAATTTCTATAGCTTGTTTCTTGTAGAAATTAAGAATCACATATTGAAAAAATAAAGCATTATTTTTTGGATCTTTATAGAAAAGCTTTAATTTATCATCAAGTAATAAAGATACTTTGACTGGATGATAAACTTTATATCCTTTTCCTTCTAAATAGCTCATAAAATTTTCTTTAAATATTGATTTTTCTACACCAATAGCCTGTTAATACAATAATTTTTGGTTATCTTGTTTTAATTTTTTTCTTCTAATTACTTCATTAGGATATTTTCTCTTTAATTATCTTAATATTTCTTGTTTGATTTTGTTTGTATATTCACTTTCTAACCAGCTATTTTTTTAATTAAATAGGAATATGTAAATTTAAGTTTTCTGAAAAATTGGGTTGCTGGTTTGATAATCTTGCCAGGGTAACCTTCAATAAGATGAGGTCTAATAAATTCAAAAAGTTGATATACAAGTATTGTCAAGTCTGGTGTGGAGTTTTATAGATTTGGTAATTAGAAATTTTTGGAACCAGTCAAGATTCTTCGAGATATTACGATTTTGTTTAGATTTTTGTGCTTGTTTCTGTTGATGTTTTTAATCTTGATTCTGTTTATCTTGGTTTTTATTTAATTTTTGATGTTATTATTGTTGTTGCTATTGTTGTTTAGAATAATGAGACCAGAATTTGACCTTTTTCCTTAACAGAAAGTTTACAAAGTTTGATTAAAGAGATAGTGATTGCTTGGTGATGGGTAAGAATTACCTCCTGTTTTACTTTAATGAGAGATATGACTATTTTTTGGTGAAATTAAGTAGAGCTATTTGTATGAGAGGGTTAGCTTGGTAAGATTCTTCTTGAGCTGGTACTTTGATGTTAGGTAAATTTGATAGAGCATCACATTTTTTGGTTAATTGATTACTAGAGATACTAGAGATCATAGTTGTAGATTCTCTGATAGCAATGCATTGTGTGTGTAAGATTCTGTAATGCTTGGAGATAAAACTAGTGTGGTACTTTTCACAGTAGCATTTACCAATAGAGAGTTAAAGAGGTACTTGAAAAAATGTTGTTGTTTAGTTAAATCACAAACTGCTGGTTTAAAGGCTGTTGGGTGAACTCAAAGTATGTTAAGGTGTTTTTAGTAGTTCCTATACCAAAATGGTTCTGGTAGTTTTTGTGATAGTAGTCAAGGTTGTAGGAATCTGGTTCTTCGGAAGTTAAGGTAGGCATAGTATTAGATAAGGTTTAGTAGTTCTGGTAAAAAAATATAACAAATAAAAGGGTGTAATAAATAAGAGAGTATGACAAATAAAAGAGATGTAACAAATAAGAGGTATGACAGATTAGGTGTTACCCAGTGTTATGATAAACAGATCGACAGGATTGACAGAAGATGCAATTTTGTATAAATTTGCTAAAACCAAAAAGGAAATTTGGTTTTTGTATGAAAGAAAGGTGTAACAGGAGGCTAAATTGTGTAAATTGATTAATAATATTGATTAGTAATGGGGATCTGCAGGTTTGAACATCCTAGAGGGCTAAAATT